CCCCCCCCCTAAAAAAAACCCAACCACATCAAACTATTATCCTGGTCTTTTCCCCATATTCCATCGTTAAGCTTTACAAGTAAGCTGCTCTGGGTCTACCCCTCTCTCGTTTGCCTTCAATTTTACAATCGAGAGAAAGATGTTCGATGTTGATTTTTATGTCCATTGAAGTGTCCATGAAACTAAACTGCATTTGTCTTTTCTTACTTGTTTTTGTCACTAAACGGCCTGTGTGGGCCTTTTTAAGAACTACATAATTTGTGGGTGGTTGGTGAGTGCTATGATGTGGCTTGCTCCTTCCTTCCTATCAAACATCTATCCTCCTTATCGCTCCTCCTTTTTTGTGTGTTTGTTACTCTCTTGTAACACCACTAATCTTCGGCACTTAAATGACCATATCGGGTTGCAAGTGCCGTAAAACTCTTTTAAAAACTTTTTTTTAAAAGTACTGAAACTCGTGATTTCAACATGACAATATTACCAGTAGGAGAAATCATGATCTGCTACCTTAACTTATGTTAGTAGATTCTTTATATTACGTACCTCAGAATTACACAGTTCTATCTGACATTTTTTGGCCGTTTTTAGTTAGTAAAGGCTTTATCTGCTCTATCAAAATCGAAAGTCGTTATCAAGATATTCTAAAAATTCGTTCCAAAAAAGCTTGACATATTGTTGAACTTAAAATCTTTGACGTCAAATTTCTCAAAACTAGCCACTGAGCAGATAGAACTTGGTAATTCAGAGGTAGCGATTAGTATAACCAACACACACACACACACACACACACACACACACACACACACACACACACACAGCTGCGCTCCCTGGGCACATCTGCTAGACTGCCATGTTTATTGTTGTCGAATACAGTAGAAGTAGAGAGTTGAAGAAGGAGACTTTTGCCTGTGCCTGGGCCGCTGGACTCAGCACTCACTGACTGACCCCCATAATCAATCACGTGGGAGGCGGCCACGTCTGCTTCACTCACAACTTCCGGCGGAAACACTTCCCACGTTGCTTCCAATCCATACAATTATTCACCCGCCCCCTCGCGCCTGCAACTCACCCATAACCAAGACGACTTGGACGAGAACTCGGTCCTCTCAGTTCAGAGTAACAATGATTGCAGTAATACGACGAGGGGTTCATTTTATTGTAACCATCCTCATCCTCATCATCATACTACTACTACTACTACTACTACTACTACTACTACTACTACTACTACTACTA